TATTTGAATTCTCTTTCATGTTTTCAATTCAATTTATGTATTTTTTACGACTATGAAACATTCGAAATTCCACATTTTAAGTTAAAATCTTATTTTCCTGTTTTTAAATGTTTAAAGCTTTTCACGTTTATTTTTTAAAATGAAAATTACTATTCGAGAATATTTTAAAAGTTTAATTAAATTTTTGTTTATTTCCTATGATAATTGTATTTTTTTCCTTCTGTTTTTAAATTTTCCTAAGTTTACTAAGCTTTAAACAATGCTTGGATGCGAATTTACACTGTAATATAAGAAGTTTTTTAGGAAAAATTTCGACTGATTAAAATATAACCAGAAAAATTTTAAAATCATTATAATTATATTGCTTGGAACTTCAGACTGAAATTTATATCTAAGGATATTCCTTACAATTATATATACCAAGTTTATAATAAATTTACTACATATATATATATAAGAATTTTAGCATTAATTACAAAAGTATTATGTAAAACTATTAAAAATTTGGAGTAAATATCTATGAAAACTTGCATACTCGCATTAAATCCTACATAATTTCACGCATTAATTTTCTGGAATTAAATAAAGTCGGGTACGATTCATTAAGATTAACTTTGATAATGATTTTAACTTAAAAATGGTCGAAATATACACTATATTATAAACCATAAAAATGATAAATTTAGTAAATTTAAACCAAAATTTTAGCAATAATTATAAAGGTAATTATGAACGTATTAGAATTTCTAATAAATTTAATGTAAAATAGTGCTTACAACTTTATTATTTATTTTTTATTTTAAAGCTTATATTAATTATTCGCCTTACTATTTATAGATGTAAAATATATCAATAGTAAGGTTCTTCATAATTAATTAATACATAGATTATAACGTGTACGATAATTGTAACACAGTAGTTTTATACAGTACTTGCGAGCTTAGCATTTCTTGGTACTTCTGGTTTAATGCGTGATAAGTGAAGAAGAAAAAAACTCCTTTTAACCACACCCACGACTCGTGTGATTAGGAGAATTTTCCTCCAAATCATACAGGACAGGATAGCAGAAATGTGATCGACACACTAAACTTTTCTATATCCTTTTATTAATTTTAATTCATTTCAAGTTTAATATTCTGCGCCAGAAAACATAATTTAAATGTTATTGAAAATATAAATATGTAAATTTTAATTAGCTTTTATCCGCAGATACCGAATCTATTATATTATACATTTTCTAGTTTATTTACTTTACAAATTTAATGTTTTCATGTTTATTTGCATTGTTAATTTATTTCGTATATATGTATTTTTTTGCTTTGTTGTATCTTAAGTATCTGTCTCTTATATTGTAAAGAAATTTAATAAGTCTGCGCTTAATACATAAGTAGAATATAAAAATGCAGACACTTAAGCTATCAAGCGACTTAAAAAAATGTGTTTCGTACTTATTTATCAATAGAAAAAAAATGTTAGAAAGTAAAATAATAGTTTAATTAATTATCGAAGCACGTTCGAATCCTAAACAGTAGAAAACACATCTTCCAAACTCAATGCTATCAGCCATATCTTGGAGGTAATGTGCGCCTTGTTGGCGGCAGATATTTCGATTTTATGCTTGAAGCTGGGCCGACAGGAGCCATCCTTACAAATTTTGTAGCATATGACATAATAACTGAAGTCAATGCACCCTGCATCGGTACCCTTTAATCATTTACGCAGAAAACAATTCACGTCTACATATTTAAATATTAATTAAATATTGCCAAAATCTAAATTTATTATTATATATTCGGAAAATACTGTCGCTTAAAGAATAACTTTATCCATGCTTTAAAAGAATTAAAAAAAAACAGTTGAAGTCTATTTTTATTTTCTACAGTTATAAATCAATATGCAATCTAATAATATAAAGTTCTTACAAAAAATAAAAGAATTGTTGATATACTGGATATTATTAATCGCATGACAACTCTTTCCATCTTGAAAATCGCTGGCGTGGAATGTCGAAAGTTGACTTTTTGCCAGTATGCGGGAAATTGTATAGCCACTACTAGTAAAACATACCTTATAACCCCACGAAAAAAAAAGGAAATGCCAACATGTAACGTATAATAAAAAATAATACAAATTTACGTACAGTACTGTACAGTACATAATAAAAAGCATTGAGAGAAACCAACAAAGAAATTAATTGGGAAGAAAGTATAACATTGTATATAATCTGCTTACAATTTTAATAGAAGAAACGACCCGGACAAATGAAAAATTTTATTACAAAATTTCGAGAGAGTACTTGAAATATTTTTACTATAATCAGAACTTTGCCTAACACTCAAAACTTTTATATGCATATTAATTGATTTGCTTTTTTTTAGTATAAAGCATCATTAACGTGCAATTCTTGAGATAAAAGTTATTCTAAGAAAAGAACTATTCTTCACGCGTCACTTCTTCAAAGTAGAAGGTGAAAAAAAAACTAAAATGAAAGAGTGAAAATATAGTTATTTCCTTCGTCGTAACCCTGATTTGTTGGTTCTTTATCTCTAACATATTTTATTTTCCAAATCATATCGTTTCTAATTAGAAATTTACTTGTCACAGCAAATCCCACAATCTGACAATGTTGACATTTGTAGATTCACAACCAGAAAAATGATATTATTATGCGAACAAGACAGAAATGTGGTTAAGTTCTGCTAAATCTAATAACTTTTTTCAGATTTTTCTTCCTATTTTATTGTAAATTTTCGTAAAAAAAATGGAAGGGAGAAAAGCTAATAACTTAGAAAATAGAGAAAATAATGATTACTTTTTCGGCTTTTTAATGCGTCACAAATGATTATATTTTTATTTATTCTAAAATAAAAATTTCCTATTGTAAAAATGTTGGTTAATTAGCCTACATCGATTGTGCTAATTAAATTCTATTTAAGGCTATAAAATATTTAAAAATAAAACTTTAACGTTAGTAATTTAAATAAATTATTCACATCTTCTTCTAGGATGCAGACCCAGTTAATTATGCCCATCATACTCTATATAACAAGCAATATGCATTCAAATATACCATAAAAAGATCATTATTAATATTTTAAAGGATATAATCATGGGAATAATATATAGTTTAATTTATTCATTAGTGTTTTTCTTGTGTCTACACAAGCATTAGTGTCTTTATAGGCGATAAATTTGGTTAATTTTTAAAAATAAATTAAAGTAATTCCGAGTGTCAAAATTGATTTTAACGTTTAACGTCGATAAAACTACGGAGTATATTTACTGGAATGGTTTTCGAAAACATTTCTGACAGCAACTAAAATTCCTTTAGCACTCTACAGCAGTCATAAACCGACTAATGCCATACCAAACTCAGTAGCTATTAATAACGGCTGCGCAACCTATAAAATAAATAGCTATATTGACAAGAATGTATTCATTTATCAGATTTATACAAGATTCTCCATGAATATTTCATGTTAAAAATCTAGTAGAAACGAAACAATTAGAAGAATTACAATCATTTAGGTAAAAGTTCTAGCATCATTTCATTTCTATTTTAATTCTATAAAATCGCAATTCCCCGACAAACTAACTCATACAATTAATAAACGATCAATAAAAATGTGCAATGAGATTTTAATTATGACATAATTAACTCGGATTGTCATATAACAAAAGCAAAACATTGCCTCTCTATATATTTATATATCACAATAGGAAGTTATGTCATATATTTGCATAATCTCTTAATGGAATACTTGCAACAGAAAAAATAAAAACAGTGCTGTGAAAGGTATGTCAAGGGATTATCCAAATTAAGGATTTTAGTATATTTTGATTCTCTTTTTAAATATCAATAACTTAATAAGATTTTTACGGAGTTTGAAAGGAAATATGCTCTTTCATCATAAATTATTATATAGGATCGGCTCGACTAAATATTTATCGCACATACATATAAATAGCTGTTTATCTTGGAATAAAATTGCATTTTCCTGCAATAAATTCAGACAAGTTATATATAAATTCCAAACTTACTCAACCTATTTTTATTAAAAAATAAAGAAAAAAAATTCTTTTAGCATAATATAAAAATATCTATGAAAATTAAAAAATTCTAAACTCATTTATATCCTTTCGTTCCTTTATCATTTTAAAACGATTTAATTAATATTTTAAAATTTGAATAGATAAAGATGTTAGAGAGCAAACGGAATAATAATAAATTAAAGTACAATTAATTGTTGATAGTGTTAAATGATCAGGTATTTTAAGTGAGTGGTTGAATTGATTACGATTAATCTATAGATTAATACTATGAAGTGTTGAAAGACTTTAACAGACATAAGTAGACATTTTTTCCTGTGTTTCTGTATCGAATTTCCTCGATTTTTTTTGAATGTAAGATAAAGCGAAATTTTAAAATAAAACTTTACAAATAACACTCCTTCTTGGAAACTCTTGCAATTTCAGGTTATGTGAGATCTTTCGAATTTTTTTTTTCGTGTGTGTGTCGTTGTACTTCTTTTTTTAAACTTTCTGATTTATATAAAAGAATTGGACATTATCACTTGTATATTTATAATCTAGTAAAGACCATTTCAGATAATAGTCGACCTTGAATAGCCTCTTATTCCAATTTTATCCCAAATTTCTAAAGCGTATAGAAAACGCCTTCTGCATTTAAAAAAAGTGTCGAAGAAAATAAATAAAGAAAACCATTCGTCACCTTTAAAACACATCAAACGATCCGAATAAATATAATTCAACGCCATTTTCTATCGAAAAAAATCCCCGTTTTTTTTTATTTTTGTATTAAAAAAATTCTTCGTTAGATAAAAAGTAGAAAAAACGAAATAATTTGGCGAAAAATTTCTTAATGTAAGTCATTTCTAACAAAATAAATCAGTTGTATTAATTATTCAAAAGTTATGTTAAGTTTGATTGTTGTAGTAGGTTAATTTATTAGAGTTAAAATGATATAAAATAAAACTAACCTGATTGTTTAAATTCCGTTAATGTATCTGATAACAATATGTTGTTTATAGCAAAAAGATATATAATTTAACCAACTCATGTTTTCACCTAGCACATCCTTTTGGGGTGAACTGTGGAGACACAGCTGTGCCGCCTGACGATCTTGACTGCAACTGCACTTCACAATCTATTGAATACCGGAATGGCATGCGACTGCGCAAACCCACTGCACCTCCTACATTTTACTTCGTCCTACATCGGGTCATAAATGAGAATGAAAAATCTACTTGTTGAATCTTCTAAATCACATATTACACGTAGCAATTTTCGCCTGTCTTCGCTAACAATACTCACACACACTACTAACACGTCCTTACTGAAATTAACAGTACGCAACTGACAGGAAAATTGTCACAAATAAATTGTTTTTTTTTTTTTTCAAGTTAGATAATATCAGGATACATCTGCAATAAAAATGATATAAATATTTAAAACAGGTAGATGTATAAATTGTCGAATACAGGGGTTAATTGTTGGGGTGGTGATTTTTTTAGTTATAACGGTGGAAAAATTTGCTTGGTGGTGACGAAGATTACCACCTTAATACATGTTTTATATTAAATATTTCGAAGGAAAATGTTGGGAAAATATTAAGAAAAATAAGATGTAAAAATTAAAAATAAAAAATANATTACAAAAAATAAATAACTCCACTTTAAATATTTAAAGTTTCATGGAACCAAATAATATAAAAACTTTTCGATTTTGTAATTAAATATTGCATTTTAACACGTGTTAAAAGTGTAGCTTAATTGAATTACTGTAAATATTTATATTTTCAACTTGATTTTAAAATAATTCCGTGTACATTTTACATTTTTGTATGTAAGCAATGGTGTACGATATACTTGAAGTTTACATGTTAAGTGTACGCTTTGTAAATAGGATAAGTAAATAAACAAGTAAAAATAATTTATTAAATTATTGAACTTAATTAATTATGCTGATAGAACAGTTAAGAAGCTTGCATGTTATACAGACTGATCTGTTTGAATGAGGATAACTTGAAGGCTGTTTCATAATAAACATATTAGTTACACGAATTTCAAATTCTGCCACGATGATGGCAAAGTAAGATTGGGAGTTTCATTAAATAGTTTTGTTATACGACAAAATTGAAAATAGCACCGACCATAGAGCGACGTGCTGAGTTTGTCCTTTGGTATGCAAAGTTTTAGAGTGTGAAGGCTATTTAATACGAATTTTGTCATGTTTATGGTTTCGGAAAGCCGCCTTAGTATGATCGCTCAATGTGTTAATAATGCACATTTCATGATACTTGAAATGCACCCATAGTGCTTGTTCGATGTAAGCAACACCAGTACATTTTTAACACTGCATTAAACTGTTGTGTGAGCACAGTCAACTCCAAAGACAATGCCATTTTACATTTCTCGCGTGACGAACTATCCAATGAAACTCCTGTCTTATTTCACCGTTGCGAAGGAATTTGAACTTGACGTAACTAATGTGTTAACACAGTTTTAAACTATCCCAACCAAACAGATTACCCTGTATATATTCTTTAGAAAATCCCATTGATTTTCTTAATAACATACATAAAATGTCATTACAGAAGATTCAAGATCAATCACGATGAGAACACGTAAAGATACCTGAAATCAAATATTTTTTTTCACAGCAGCCATAAATTCTTATCATTTAATATTTAGAAACAACGAGAATAGCCTTATTATCAGTAAATACGAAAAATCAAACAGATGATTTAATACGATTCAATGCGTCCTGAAAGATTAATGTTTGAACATTATCGTATCAATGGATAATATCCATCACGCGACAGATTTATGCAATACTGCAATAGCCAAGATCTTTAAACTACTGTACCAAAAAGCATGAAATTTAATTGATTATCATATTGAATCATCAGAGTTCATTCATCTTAACAAATAGATCAATCTAAAATCAATAGCTTACTGACCATGTTCATTGATTTGGATTGATCGAGATTCACGATAATGTCTCTCACCGAATTCGATAGAATAAACTCTTGTTTTATTCGAGCTTGAATCTTTATTGTATTTCGTTTCGAATTTTTATCATCCCCCACACAAGCTGACCACTCATTAGAATTAGGTCAACCCATCGTAGTAAAATTAATTAAATTTTTATACATAACATGCAGTCCCTAGATGCTGGATGTCACAAACGAAAATAAACAAGATAAATTTTACATATAATTGCTACATATATATTTATATATTTTAACCAATTATATAAGTTATTAAAAACACTAATAACAATCGAATACATACAAGGTAAATGATGTGTAACGAAAATCAATACTGACAAAAAAAATTAAATAAAACAATGCAATCTAATGAATAAAAACTTAATTTAGTAATAACAAATTAAAAATAATTGTCTACTTATTAAAAAAAATAATATGAAACATTTATTACATCTCTAACGATTATTTTTATTAAAGTTAGTTTTTTAGCATTAGAATTGTACGTAAACATGAACAGAAAAAATCACCAATTAAAGTCCACATAAATGTGATATTCATGAATTGTTTAACTATATGCATACCATTTGTTTAACTAACTGCAAAGTCTTTTTATAACTAAATGAACCGAATTTAAATTAATGACTATATTTACAATCCAAATTACAGGCCAAAATTTGTTGCTTTTAGCAATCACCATTCATAAATCACTATTTATAAGAATATTTGGTGAACATTTAAAATAATTAATTTTAAATTGAGTTTTGAAGTCTCTTTGTAGTCAATTGAATGAGTCTTTCAATCAAATCTTAGGTTTGACTTATTCGGCTACATTTAAACGCAATGCTCCATACAAGGATTATTAGCATACATTAATAGACAGAAAAGCTTGTGATTACTGCAAAACTCGGCATAAAACAACATCTCAGACAAGGTTGTTGTCCGATTGCACACTAGATGATAATAATAATAATATAAGAGTGTCTTAAAATCGCTACCCAAAAACCCTATAAAAAATGAAGTGCTCACTGTGATCACAATTTTTAGCGTATCTGTTGTTTGTAAATCTAAAACGTCACGCATGCCTATACGACGAAGTCAAAAATATTATGCACAATTGATGGAATTTAAAAGATCGCATCATTAGGCAGAGGGAAGCAAGATGACCCTTTCGCGCAAATGCCTTCACCTAAACCTGCAAGAAAATGTTGAGGGCAGTAGATATGCCAGAGAATATATATAAAGCACGACCATACTCTGGTACTCGTGACAGTTTGCCAACAGACAGACTACCAACATCGTGAGACAAGCAAGAACGGCTTCAACGGCGTCTTTGTTCACCACCCAGAGAAAGGTCTCGCTACAGAATCCTGTCTGTTCCACTATCATTTTCAGGATACTAGCAGAAGCAAAATTTGTATGCAGAGAGATTGTTACGCACACCATTAGCACCTCAATAACTCTGCTTTGTTTGCGGCGATGCCTTGACAAAGATGCTTCGACTTCTACGAACTGGCAGTTTATCGTCTTCAGCAACGAATCCCAGTTTGTTTGAAAACAGATAACCACTAAGTTAGAGAGTGGAGTACCACTGGTGAGTGTTTAAATTTTACCTTTTCTGTTGAGCGGCAGCTGTCCACACTGCTGGAGTGATGATATAGAGAGCCACTGATATGATAGTCGATGAAGAGAGAGACAGTGATGGCACAGTTCTACGTTCAGTAAATTTTGTGCCCTAATGTCTTGTCTTTATAGCAGGGTTGCAAACAGCCATTTTCCAGAAAGATAATGCTTGGCTGCCCATAACTAGGATTTCCTAGGATTGTCTCCGTTACGTTTGAATACTTCTTTGGCCATTCCGGTCTCCAGATTTGTCACTCATCGAGCATTTGTCGTACTAAATTGGACTCCAGCTGCGGCCATCTACGAATGTGAGAGATCTGTAGCGGCAGTTGCAACATCTGATCGCACAAGATATTATTGGTTCGTTTAAACTGTACCATTGTTGCACAGGAAATTGTACAGTACCGTTATTGTAATCGCTTATCACCATTGTCACTATAAAGTTTCATTCGGTCCCAACGCCTCTTTCTTGGTACATTTTTGTCAATAAGTGTATTTCAATGTCTCTTAATAGTCAATTAGATTTTTAAAATAATTTACAATTAGTTTAATCAAAATAGTATAAAATACATTACTAGGAAAATTTTAATATAACGCTTAATATAGCAAATAAATTGATCCACTCTGTAAATTCTTAATTAATTTTAAAATAGAAATCAAGGACAATTTACAGTTTAAGCAGAAGATATGCAAAATAATTCCAAAATTAATGAATAACTTAATTTGCATAATTAACAATTAATACAATCCCAAAAGATATATTATTTAAATTAAAAACATATCAAGAAAGATAAAGTAAAAATTACTATTGAACCATTATAAACATGTCTCGTTAAAACAATGAAAACAACTATTTANTTCATCATTTTTAATGTTCTTTATTGTGCATGAATCAAGCCTCTTTCATTAAATACATGTTTACATAAATACTATTTGCTGACTTGCTGACCTCTGTTTAGACAAATAAACTGTCCAATTGCTACTAAATCTGGAAGGTGACATTTCAGGACACGAGAAAGACATTTCGGTATAAAACGTAATACGAAAACTCAGCTCTACGGCACTTTTATAGGCAATGAACATTTTATTTGTACAATAGACTCGTGATCACTAAGTAGGGAATACTACTTAGTGTGATCCCTAATCTGAATTGTAAAATCTGAATGCGATGAACAGCGAGTGTCAGCAGCTGACTGTTCAAGTTCGTTTTAAGTGTTTCCACACGAATTAAGATACGGGTAATAAGATGACCATGCGGTAGGAAAAGCAGAAAAAAATCACTCTCTTATCAACGAAATGTTGCAGAAAGTGGTATAGACAACATCTTATTTGTGTAGGCATTCCATCTGAAATGAAAGTGCATTCATGACATTGTCAGTGTTGCAGCTGAAATACAGCAGAAATGTTGAGCATCTCTCAGTATCTGTGGGCCTTCACAGCATGTCACAGTTCCATCGGGAATAACTATTTCGAACATGTTTGGTTCAAGGATGTGAACTGAATTCACACCAGACTGTAACTTCAGGCAAAGTACAGTGGAATGTGCTGGAGAACAAATGGCTATCCATAGCCGAAATGAGACAGTATGGATGTTCACTGTTTCACTGAGGTGAAAATGTGCCTCATCGAACACAGAATCTTCATGA